CCTATTAACCCATTAACAGTCTTTTAAATGCTTTCTCCAATTTTTTATTTATTTATTTCTGCATTAAAATCTCTAATTTCAGTAGTGTGAAAAAGGCACTTCCTGTTGCTTGGTGTCATGGTGACACGAACAGGTTTTCAGAACAGGTTTTCAGAGAGAAGGTGAATTCAACGAAGCTGAATTACACACGAAGAAACTATAAATCAAGCGGGGAAAAAAGAATATGATCTAAGAAAAAAGGAAATTCAAATTCACAAAAAAACAACAACTCAAGACTGAATTACATACCTAACAACACAAAGGTATGAAGCAACACCTTTCTTCCAATAATAAAGAACTCACAAGTGATCAGTCACACATATGACACATCAATCGTTTACTGTTACAGCGCTTTGTTCTCCTTATTGGGCAACAAATTACTTATGAATAATGAAACAGTTTGGAAAGTTGCTCCTTTATTATTTAAAAATGCATGTTTTATCTAGAGTACAACATGTAGAACAATAAACTGCTTTAAACATGCTTGTGCTTCACAGCTGAAGCAGCAACAACGAAAAGACAGAAGTAACGTTTGTATGTCATATATGCCCAAGAATGCCAGATATCTAAGACACATTTAAATGAACAAGGTCACATTTCTGAGATTCTGCTTGAGTGAAGGTATGCAGTAATGTTGAGCGTTCAGCTGAGCATTAAACACAAAGATGCACAAATCAGCAGCCGATGTCACAATAGGTTCCCTTAGTTAGATGAGGCCTATACCTGCAGGTCTTTATTGGCACTAAAAATATTACAGGTTCAAAGTTGTCTTCTACTGTGTTACTAGATGAATTGGTTGAAAAAAAAAAATACATTAATTAAGTCAATTCAAAACAAAAAGCCTAAATATCATACAGGTGATTATAGAAAGGGTTTAAACGTTAAAAGCACTTGTTTCTGTTAATTCGGGGGGTTATATCTTATGAGTAGTGAAGTCTTAAATTCTCTTTCTCAGAAATGAGTTTGGACTTAGACTTAGAAAATGTTATTGTAATTTTGTATACAAAACGGAATGTTGTTCTGTATAGCTCTCATTACATTTCCATTTCTTAAAGTGCAACCGTGATCAAATCTAAACATTGGGAGAAAAAACATGGTGCAAAAACATGAATTCATATAGTCAGTTTGATGCAGAGACTGTAAAATGATTTACAGTTTTTTAACATTCAGCAGTTTGTTTTTTTCTGTTTACTGTTGTTTTTGTTTTTTATTCTACGGCCTATAAAATCATCTGTATGATTTATGTGATTAAGTTTTGATTTTCAGTGATGAATTATAAGGTAAAATCTTCTATGTGTGTTGATCCACTGAAAGTTAAGTCAGTTCAATTGGTCCGTGGTGGTTTTTATTGCTCTCTTTCAATAATAATTCTTTTTTGAAAAAGAATTACTTGTTTTTTTTTCATTGTCTTGAATGCATCACACTATGTGTGATAAGTACATATATAATTCTCTTTTTAAACTACAGTGCCATAAATCAACTTGAAATAGCGTTGACATTTATTGAGATACGACTGCATATTTCATCATACATTCATACAGCCATCATAAATAAAAAATCTTAAAATCCTCTTTTAGGCCTTCAGCTGTTCTCTATCAGAATAAAAAAATCCTTGTGTCTTCAGTGTTGTCTGATCTTTAGTTATCTGCTATGCATGCTTGTACAAAGATTAAAATATGTCTGAGTATACTTGTGACTAATTTTATAAAACATCCTGTGTCTAACCATCCTCTGTCCTCTTTTCATTAGGCCGCTAACAAGAGTCCATACGGCTTCTGTTATGCTCATGTACACATAGTGACATGTCTCTGGTTTTGTATTTATACTTTAAAGTTAAAAGAAAAGGTGATGTAGGATTTCTGGAGATTTTTCCTGATGAGTTCCAGTTTCTCACTGGGATTTGTGAAAAAGTGACATTGTAGGAGATTTACCTTTCTTCAGTTTTTCCGGATCTTCTGACTTTGTTTGCAGTCGGCTGCTTGGAGTCAATCTGCTCAGCATCCATTAAACTCACATGAACCATATTAGCAGCATCTGATCAGAGCAGCAGGAGGAACATGTGCAGTGAATTACTGATCATGGGTTTCTAGCTGCTCCTCATTAAGCTAAAACAGCTCTGGACATCTGGATTAAATGCATTGATGTTATATTTACACAGTCTTGAAAGCTTTTTATTGCAAGCTAAATTAAATGTTTTAAACATGAATTAATATTAAGATCTGTGATAATTTGATTTGATTCTTTTATTTTTAGAATTTTAAAGTTTATGCATGAAGTAGAGATATTTTGAAAAAATTGGACAATAGGACCAAAAAGTTTTTTTTCCCTTGATCGTTTAATAGCTACTTCCAAATGCCCAGTTTGTTGCTGATTTGATTAAAGGTGTAACATTTTTTTCAAATGCAATGAGGTGTCATAAAATGCACAATTCTGATTATCTTCAAGCTATCATAAAGCCAATATAGGGTTTAGACACTTTAAAAACTCATCATAAATTGTATGTTAGTCTGCCTTTTATTCTTTGTTTAGGGTTTTGTTTTGCTGTTGTTGTTGCACTGTGTGGTTATGTTTGCCTGTAAGTTATGTACTTGCAGTAAAGTTATACAAAAAAACTCATCATAATCTTTTTTTTTTTTTTTTGCTTGCAGAAATGCCATTACAGTTCCACCACATAAAAGAATGCAAAGTAAAAGCTATGCACCTTTTTTTTTTTCTGTCGCCTAGTTTTATTAGAACTTTTTTCATTTTTTTCTATTCTAAGATAAGTCTGTGCTTTTGACATATTTTAGGCAGTGATACATTTTGATGATGGTAACCAAACAGTTGATCAGGGTGGTATTATAAAGGTGGGGGTTGGATGTATAAGCATCAGATAAAACAGTTGCCTATTTATCTCTACTCGTGCCCTGAATGTTTTTTTTATTTTTTATTATTATTATTATTACTTATTTGTATGTGCTACCAGTGGGGAACCCTCCTTACCTGGTGCTTTTATCTGCTTTAGGTGGAACTGTGGAGCATTTCCCCAGCCACACCTTCAATAGGATTTTTTGCTTTTTAATTGCATTTATTTGCTGTTCAGAAACTCTAGAATGTTCTTTTTATTGGTTTTATTACATATGCAGCTAATTCGTAGAAATAAACCATGTATAATGGGAATAAACAGGAATAGAGAATGGTAACGAACCTATTGATACAAAATAACTGCTTGATTTAGCTTTTGGTACTGCTGTAGAAAGGATATTTAGCATAAGATGCCACCTGTTTGTGCTGGCTAATCCAAGGAGCTGCTGTTTTTTTTTTTTTTTTTTTTTCTGCAAAACTGAAGCAGGTGTTGTTAAAGAAAGCTGAAACTTCTGTGGATTTTTTTTTGCTGGCTTTAATTTGGTTTCAGTGACATCAACTGATTTTATTACAGTAACATTTGTAGCCTAAGGGATTCCTCAGGCAGACTCCTTCTCTGCAACCCCACGAGAAGCAGAACGTACACTCAGAGCCCCACAAAACCCTTTATGCAAATTATAAAAAGGTAAAAGAAAGAACTCTTTGCCATATGACTTATCAGAAATACTAAGAACTATAATATCAGAGAGTTCCCACAAGTTATGTATTGATAAAATGGATAACAACAGATTTAAGCAAAAAACTAAAATAATCTGGTAAAAGTTTTAACAATCATAAACTATGTTTTAAAGTATCGTTATTTACAATTGAATAATTAAGGAAATGTATACATATAACTAGTCTGTGCTTTTCATGCTTGTTTTAATATAATCATGTCCTAATTCCAAAAGAGAACAGAACTTCTGTGTATTGTGTTTTTAAAAGCACAATAAAGTTGTTTTTTTTCTCTGACCAGTCTAAATATGTAAATAAATACAAAATGCAGGCCAGACTTCTTAAAAAAAAAAAAAAGAGATGATTCCTTTAAATTAATTTTGAATCATAAAATTCACAACATATACTAAATTCTGTGTTATTAGATCACTATATTTTCTTCTACTGAGCTCATCACCAATGATGCTTATTCCAACTGACAAGAGATAAAAATAAACAAGAAAAATCTTGTTCATGGAGAAACAATAGGCCAAGTTGATCTATTTCCTCCCTTAAAGATGCATAATTTCTGCAGCAAATGTCCAGATTACAATTTATCTTAAATATCTGACCTGTTGTTGCATCCTAATAGCCTCATTAGACTTTGCCAGACCACAACTCAATGCTTGTTGCGTTTGACTGACAGCATATGAGGAGAATTTTAGCACCTTAGCCAAAAGGGGGAGTGTTGGCCTAGTGGTTAGAGCAGTGTGCTTGTGGTCTGAGAAGGTTGCAAGTACCCAGTTTTATCCCCACAGCCTCCACTCCTGAGCAGGACCCTTAACCCCACGCTGCTCCCTGGGCGCCACACAAAGGCAGCCCACTACTCCCCAAGGGGATCGGTCAAATGCAGTGAGTGAATGTCCCCATTGTGGGACAACAAAAAGAAATTTACATTTACCTTTAAAACAAAAGAGATTTTCTTTTGTTTGCTTAGTTTTACAAATGTTCAGAATCTAGTATGAAATATATACTGTTTAGAGGAGTTCTCATCTTGTCTGGGGGAGTGCTTTATTTACAATAATATGCTAAATTATAGTCATATTTGAACATTCATTATTTGTTTATTAATATAAGGTAGGTCAGGATGCCCTTTACAGAAATGTGCAGAAGGTCGTTTCCCTGTCTTGTTTAAGACATATTCGGATTAGTGATAGCTCTATATTTCGGCTCCAAGTGTTTGGTAACAGGAAAAGAATCCTACAGTAACCCGACTCATTATGACAAACAAAAAAGCTTGTTGCACAACCACAAAAAAAAAGGAAATATTTTAAGAATTCACACAACCTTTGCTATTTTACTTTGCCATTGGCTGCCCCAGATGAATGGGCAAGTTGTACACCAATCAGAAGCATGTGACCAGCAAATATGTAGGCTGATCCCCATCCGCAGGCCACACTGTCTCCTCTTCTATCACACACCACACACCTAAACACACACACACACAAAAACACACATCTGAAATCAGTAGCAGTCCTCATCAGTCATTCATCATGCACAGCAAAGAACAGATCAGGTAAGTGAAAAAAAATATTTCTTAAATTTTGGATGTTTTATAATGCTTTATCATGGGATGTTGTTATTCAATTTTAAGAATCCTGTTACTACTTTCAAAAACATGTATTTTCAAGATGCTTAAACAATTCTGTTTTATTTTAACACAAGAAAATAAGAATAGAAAATCCCGTTATTATCCCACAATGGGGAAATTGTGGAAAAATAAAAGTTAGTGATATATTTGTTTTCTTTTTAAACTTGTAATAATTGATGGATTCTAGTTTCAACCAATACTTAGTAACATTTCCTAACAAAATCAACAATTATCATTGTAAAGCTGCATAAAGATAAAACTCACTAACGAAGTTTAGACACAAAAGCTTAAATGTTAATAAATGAGCAGCGTGCATGATTGAGCCTTTATTTTCCAAGACTAATACGCAATGAAAGGAGGAAAGCTGATTATTTATACTGGTTATTGTAAAAACTCGCCTTGTTGGAGATTTTTAAACCACAGAAAAACATTGAAAACATAATTCTCCATATATTCCTCAAATACTCTCTTTTGCATTTGTGGAAAATTGTATTTGAAGGCTTTACATTTTCAAAGCCATCTGCAACCAGCATTTCTTTTAACAATCATTTTTACAAGAATTTATAGGAAAATAAACTAAATGCATAATAGACTTGATATTATCCAGTTTATGCAGACATGTTTTAGAAATATGTGTCCATTAAAACACAATCATAAAAATGATTCTGTTCTCTTAATTTAGAATTGACTATAATACAGATCCCTTAATATTTTAAGAAAAAATTCTGTTTTCTCTGTTTCCTGACAGTCATGATGAGTACCAGAAGACAGCCGATTGGCTGATGTCTCACACCAAGCATCGCCCCCTGGTGGCGATTATTTGCGGCTCAGGACTGGGAATGCTTGCTGACAACCTGAAATGTCAAGACTCCTTTGATTACTCTAAAATACCAGGCTTTCCTCAGAGCACAGGTAGTTTGAAAATAAAAGAGTTAAAATTTTATCAATATAAAAAAATATATATTTTTT